CTGTCGTTCTATGTTTAGCTAAATTCCTATGTTCTGTTAATCTAACTGACCCCGACCGGCTAGTTTGACCTATGTATTTGACTTCACAGTCATTACATGGAATTTGGTAGATTATATTATTTTGCTTAATTGGTTCTATCGGATCTTTTAGCCGACACAGCTTACCTCTAAGTGAGTTTGTTGGTTTAAATGCCACCCTAATTCCAACCTTGTTGAGAATCCTACGTATGGTTTCTGATGTTCCTTCCTTGTATGGTATCACAATAGAGGTGCTGATTTCCTTTCTACTTATGTTGTCACTATTATTTGTATTTGTATTAGTGTTATTATTTTGCTTCTTATGCGTCCGTGTGAATTTCTTAATAAAATGATGGGGATAATTATTAGTTATTAACGCTTCTTTTATGTGTTTCAATTCCTTATTTAAGTCCTTACAATGACTAGTGAGTTTCTCAGCTCTGTTATTTAGACATTTGACTAAACCCGCTTTAACTGACACTGGATGAGATGACTTGAAGTCTAGATACCTGTTAGAATGTGTTGGTTTTCTGTAGACGGTAGTATCTAAACCACCATCTATCCTTCGTTTTATTCTGCAATCCAACATAGGTAATTCTCCTTGTTCATTTTCTACTTCGTAGGTGAATTGGATTGCGTTAACTACTGAGTTTATGTGTGTCAAGAAACTGTCGATATGTTCCGATTTCAACACTGTAAATGTGTCATCTACATATCGCCACCATATCTTAGGTGTCGGATTATATGTTCGTAAAGCCATATCTTCCCAACTATCCATAAATATATCTGCTACTATAGGGGATATTGGTGATCCCATTGCTACTCCTTCTGTTTGTCTGTATATCTTTCCCTGAAACTTGAAGACTGTCGAGGTTAAGCATAACTGCACTCCTAACATGATTTCACCAACCGATGCCTTGGTTCTTTGAGTAAGTTGTGAGTCAGTATCTAGTTGATTTCTGACTGCCTCCAGTGCCATATTGATTGGTATTTTAGTATAAAGACTTGTTACGTCAAAACTAACCATTTTTTCATCCTCTTCTATGTGCAGGTCATTAAGTTTTTGTTTCAACTCGTAAGAATTTACTAGTCTAGAGTTGGAACGGTCTCTAACAGGACGTAATACTGATGCTAAATACTTTGATATCTCATATGTTGGTGTGTTTCGGAAGTCAACTATCGGCCTAATGGGATAACCTGCTTTATGAACCTTAATAGTACCGTAAATTCTGCTAGGATTATTAGTTTTTGGCATTAAAGTAAACCATTCGGACTTACCTAGAGATGGCTTCAGTCGGCGTATCAGATCTGTTGTAGATTTCTTAATTTTATTCATGACAGTATCTATAGGTTTCTTAATCTCTTCATATGGCCCTGTTTGGATATGTTCATCCATTTTTTTAAGATAATCCGATTTGTCCATAACTACTGTTGAGTTACCTTTGTCAGATTTAGCAATTACTATACTATTATCCTTTCGTAGATTGTTTAAAGCTGAATTTTCCAGTTTCGTTAAGTTTCGCTGTGTCTTCTTTTGTTTTTTAAGTGCTAATGCACACTGCGCTCTAACCTGTTCAGCAGTTGTCACATCCACCGAGCTTAATGCTACTTCTATGCTAGGTATGACATCTTCTGGTTTTAGATGATCTACTGTTATGTTGAAGTTTAGTCCTTTTTCAAGTACTTTCATCTCAGCTGAGCTTAAGGCTTTCGAGGAGAGATTGACTACCCACTTTGTTCTATCGATGTTCGATGATGTTTCCTTTGTAATTTCATTGTTTTCCGAAGCATATTTTTCTTGCATTAGTTTATTGAACTTTTTGATTTGATTTCTTCTAGATTTCTTGAGAGTAGCTAATCTTGCTTTGTCTGATGTTTCTATTATAAATCCATAGTCTCTGCAGTTTACTATCTTCATAATTTTACATTTAAGTTGTTCAATTTTATTCCGAATGGTACTTAATTTCTTAATAATCCTGTGAATTTCTTCTTTCAGACATAGTTTGCTGACATGTTCTATTGCCCTTTGGATTTTGTCAGTATATATTGGGATTCGTATGCGAAGGTATTTAGGGATAATTTGATTTTTCATGCAACGAATATTGAAAATACGATGATTTGTGAAACGTGCTTCAGTTTGTGAAAGTCGTGTGAGTTTATTGATTAGCCTTCGAACAGGAAGACCATAAGTTTCATTAATATAAGTGAAAAACTTGGGCACTGTGGTAGAATGTAGTTCCATATTAGATTTGTTTATTTGATATAAAGCGCACAGTGATACAGTATTATTTACTTGATTACGTTTCGAGCATAAATTATTGCTCATAATCATATCAATGTAATCACACTTCTTTCGACATCTGATTTTATAGTCCTGTCACCTGATCTCTCTTTGTTTTTTTGTTTTTTGATTGGTAGTAAAGTTTTCCATATCTCTGGTATAGGTGTTGCGTCATTCCTATTACATGTGTTGGGTGTGAATTCGATGAACAAAGATTCAGTAATTAATCTCTCTCTCCACCTAGCTATATTAGACTTAAGTACAGTGGTTTTGTCCCATCCTATTGTGTGGTTGTGTGTTAATGAATGTAATGCAATGGCTGAGTGTTTTTCTAGGTTATTGATCTTATTGGGGTCTGTCGTTCTATGTTTAGCTAAATTCCTATGTTCTGTTAATCTAACTGACCCCGACCGGCTAGTTTGACCTATGTATTTGACTTCACAGTCATTACATGGAATTTGGTAGATTATATTATTTTGCTTAATTGGTTCTATCGGATCTTTTAGCCGACACAGCTTACCTCTAAGTGAGTTTGTTGGTTTAAATGCCACCCTAATTCCAACCTTGTTGAGAATCCTACGTATGGTTTCTGATGTTCCTTCCTTGTATGGTATCACAATAGAGGTGCTGATTTCCTTTCTACTTATGTTGTCACTATTATTTGTATTTGTATTAGTGTTATTATTTTGCTTCTTATGCGTCCGTGTGAATTTCTTAATAAAATGATGGGGATAATTATTAGTTATTAACGCTTCTTTTATGTGTTTCAATTCCTTATTTAAGTCCTTACAATGACTAGTGAGTTTCTCAGCTCTGTTATTTAGACATTTGACTAAACCCGCTTTAACTGACACTGGATGAGATGACTTGAAGTCTAGATACCTGTTAGAATGTGTTGGTTTTCTGTAGACGGTAGTATCTAAACCACCATCTATCCTTCGTTTTATTCTGCAATCCAACATAGGTAATTCTCCTTGTTCATTTTCTACTTCGTAGGTGAATTGGATTGCGTTAACTACTGAGTTTATGTGTGTCAAGAAACTGTCGATATGTTCCGATTTCAACACTGTAAATGTGTCATCTACATATCGCCACCATATCTTAGGTGTCGGATTATATGTTCGTAAAGCCATATCTTCCCAACTATCCATAAATATATCTGCTACTATAGGGGATATTGGTGATCCCATTGCTACTCCTTCTGTTTGTCTGTATATCTTTCCCTGAAACTTGAAGACTGTCGAGGTTAAGCATAACTGCACTCCTAACATGATTTCACCAACCGATGCCTTGGTTCTTTGAGTAAGTTGTGAGTCAGTATCTAGTTGATTTCTGACTGCCTCCAGTGCCATATTGATTGGTATTTTAGTATAAAGACTTGTTACGTCAAAACTAACCATTTTTTCATCCTCTTCTATGTGCAGGTCATTAAGTTTTTGTTTCAACTCGTAAGAATTTACTAGTCTAGAGTTGGAACGGTCTCTAACAGGACGTAATACTGATGCTAAATACTTTGATATCTCATATGTTGGTGTGTTTCGGAAGTCAACTATCGGCCTAATGGGATAACCTGCTTTATGAACCTTAATAGTACCGTAAATTCTGCTAGGATTATTAGTTTTTGGCATTAAAGTAAACCATTCGGACTTACCTAGAGATGGCTTCAGTCGGCGTATCAGATCTGTTGTAGATTTCTTAATTTTATTCATGACAGTATCTATAGGTTTCTTAATCTCTTCATATGGCCCTGTTTGGATATGTTCATCCATTTTTTTAAGATAATCCGATTTGTCCATAACTACTGTTGAGTTACCTTTGTCAGATTTAGCAATTACTATACTATTATCCTTTCGTAGATTGTTTAAAGCTGAATTTTCCAGTTTCGTTAAGTTTCGCTGTGTCTTCTTTTGTTTTTTAAGTGCTAATGCACACTGCGCTCTAACCTGTTCAGCAGTTGTCACATCCACCGAGCTTAATGCTACTTCTATGCTAGGTATGACATCTTCTGGTTTTAGATGATCTACTGTTATGTTGAAGTTTAGTCCTTTTTCAAGTACTTTCATCTCAGCTGAGCTTAAGGCTTTCGAGGAGAGATTGACTACCCACTTTGTTCTATCGATGTTCGATGATGTTTCCTTTGTAATTTCATTGTTTTCCGAAGCATATTTTTCTTGCATTAGTTTATTGAACTTTTTGATTTGATTTCTTCTAGATTTCTTGAGAGTAGCTAATCTTGCTTTGTCTGATGTTTCTATTATAAATCCATAGTCTCTGCAGTTTACTATCTTCATAATTTTACATTTAAGTTGTTCAATTTTATTCCGAATGGTACTTAATTTCTTAATAATCCTGTGAATTTCTTCTTTCAGACATAGTTTGCTGACATGTTCTATTGCCCTTTGGATTTTGTCAGTATATATTGGGATTCGTATGCGAAGGTATTTAGGGATAATTTGATTTTTCATGCAACGAATATTGAAAATACGATGATTTGTGAAACGTGCTTCAGTTTGTGAAAGTCGTGTGAGTTTATTGATTAGCCTTCGAACAGGAAGACCATAAGTTTCATTAATATAAGTGAAAAACTTGGGCACTGTGGTAGAATGTAGTTCCATATTAGATTTGTTTATTTGATATAAAGCGCACAGTGATACAGTATTATTTACTTGATTACGTTTCGAGCATAAATTATTGCTCATAATCATATCAATGTAATCACACTTCTTTCGACATCTGATTTTATAGTCCTGTCACCTGATCTCTCTTTGTTTTTTTGTTTTTTGATTGGTAGTAAAGTTTTCCATATCTCTGGTATAGGTGTTGCGTCATTCCTATTACATGTGTTGGGTGTGAATTCGATGAACAAAGATTCAGTAATTAATCTCTCTCTCCACCTAGCTATATTAGACTTAAGTACAGTGGTTTTGTCCCATCCTATTGTGTGGTTGTGTGTTAATGAATGTAATGCAATGGCTGAGTGTTTTTCTAGGTTATTGATCTTATTGGGGTCTGTCGTTCTATGTTTAGCTAAATTCCTATGTTCTGTTAATCTAACTGACCCCGACCGGCTAGTTTGACCTATGTATTTGACTTCACAGTCATTACATGGAATTTGGTAGATTATATTATTTTGCTTAATTGGTTCTATCGGATCTTTTAGCCGACACAGCTTACCTCTAAGTGAGTTTGTTGGTTTAAATGCCACCCTAATTCCAACCTTGTTGAGAATCCTACGTATGGTTTCTGATGTTCCTTCCTTGTATGGTATCACAATAGAGGTGCTGATTTCCTTTCTACTTATGTTGTCACTATTATTTGTATTTGTATTAGTGTTATTATTTTGCTTCTTATGCGTCCGTGTGAATTTCTTAATAAAATGATGGGGATAATTATTAGTTATTAACGCTTCTTTTATGTGTTTCAATTCCTTATTTAAGTCCTTACAATGACTAGTGAGTTTCTCAGCTCTGTTATTTAGACATTTGACTAAACCCGCTTTAACTGACACTGGATGAGATGACTTGAAGTCTAGATACCTGTTAGAATGTGTTGGTTTTCTGTAGACGGTAGTATCTAAACCACCATCTATCCTTCGTTTTATTCTGCAATCCAACATAGGTAATTCTCCTTGTTCATTTTCTACTTCGTAGGTGAATTGGATTGCGTTAACTACTGAGTTTATGTGTGTCAAGAAACTGTCGATATGTTCCGATTTCAACACTGTAAATGTGTCATCTACATATCGCCACCATATCTTAGGTGTCGGATTATATGTTCGTAAAGCCATATCTTCCCAACTATCCATAAATATATCTGCTACTATAGGGGATATTGGTGATCCCATTGCTACTCCTTCTGTTTGTCTGTATATCTTTCCCTGAAACTTGAAGACTGTCGAGGTTAAGCATAACTGCACTCCTAACATGATTTCACCAACCGATGCCTTGGTTCTTTGAGTAAGTTGTGAGTCAGTATCTAGTTGATTTCTGACTGCCTCCAGTGCCATATTGATTGGTATTTTAGTATAAAGACTTGTTACGTCAAAACTAACCATTTTTTCATCCTCTTCTATGTGCAGGTCATTAAGTTTTTGTTTCAACTCGTAAGAATTTACTAGTCTAGAGTTGGAACGGTCTCTAACAGGACGTAATACTGATGCTAAATACTTTGATATCTCATATGTTGGTGTGTTTCGGAAGTCAACTATCGGCCTAATGGGATAACCTGCTTTATGAACCTTAATAGTACCGTAAATTCTGCTAGGATTATTAGTTTTTGGCATTAAAGTAAACCATTCGGACTTACCTAGAGATGGCTTCAGTCGGCGTATCAGATCTGTTGTAGATTTCTTAATTTTATTCATGACAGTATCTATAGGTTTCTTAATCTCTTCATATGGCCCTGTTTGGATATGTTCATCCATTTTTTTAAGATAATCCGATTTGTCCATAACTACTGTTGAGTTACCTTTGTCAGATTTAGCAATTACTATACTATTATCCTTTCGTAGATTGTTTAAAGCTGAATTTTCCAGTTTCGTTAAGTTTCGCTGTGTCTTCTTTTGTTTTTTAAGTGCTAATGCACACTGCGCTCTAACCTGTTCAGCAGTTGTCACATCCACCGAGCTTAATGCTACTTCTATGCTAGGTATGACATCTTCTGGTTTTAGATGATCTACTGTTATGTTGAAGTTTAGTCCTTTTTCAAGTACTTTCATCTCAGCTGAGCTTAAGGCTTTCGAGGAGAGATTGACTACCCACTTTGTTCTATCGATGTTCGATGATGTTTCCTTTGTAATTTCATTGTTTTCCGAAGCATATTTTTCTTGCATTAGTTTATTGAACTTTTTGATTTGATTTCTTCTAGATTTCTTGAGAGTAGCTAATCTTGCTTTGTCTGATGTTTCTATTATAAATCCATAGTCTCTGCAGTTTACTATCTTCATAATTTTACATTTAAGTTGTTCAATTTTATTCCGAATGGTACTTAATTTCTTAATAATCCTGTGAATTTCTTCTTTCAGACATAGTTTGCTGACATGTTCTATTGCCCTTTGGATTTTGTCAGTATATATTGGGATTCGTATGCGAAGGTATTTAGGGATAATTTGATTTTTCATGCAACGAATATTGAAAATACGATGATTTGTGAAACGTGCTTCAGTTTGTGAAAGTCGTGTGAGTTTATTGATTAGCCTTCGAACAGGAAGACCATAAGTTTCATTAATATAAGTGAAAAACTTGGGCACTGTGGTAGAATGTAGTTCCATATTAGATTTGTTTATTTGATATAAAGCGCACAGTGATACAGTATTATTTACTTGATTACGTTTCGAGCATAAATTATTGCTCATAATCATATCAATGTAATCACACTTCTTTCGACATCTGATTTTATAGTCCTGTCACCTGATCTCTCTTTGTTTTTTTGTTTTTTGATTGGTAGTAAAGTTTTCCATATCTCTGGTATAGGTGTTGCGTCATTCCTATTACATGTGTTGGGTGTGAATTCGATGAACAAAGATTCAGTAATTAATCTCTCTCTCCACCTAGCTATATTAGACTTAAGTACAGTGGTTTTGTCCCATCCTATTGTGTGGTTGTGTGTTAATGAATGTAATGCAATGGCTGAGTGTTTTTCTAGGTTATTGATCTTATTGGGGTCTGTCGTTCTATGTTTAGCTAAATTCCTATGTTCTGTTAATCTAACTGACCCCGACCGGCTAGTTTGACCTATGTATTTGACTTCACAGTCATTACATGGAATTTGGTAGATTATATTATTTTGCTTAATTGGTTCTATCGGATCTTTTAGCCGACACAGCTTACCTCTAAGTGAGTTTGTTGGTTTAAATGCCACCCTAATTCCAACCTTGTTGAGAATCCTACGTATGGTTTCTGATGTTCCTTCCTTGTATGGTATCACAATAGAGGTGCTGATTTCCTTTCTACTTATGTTGTCACTATTATTTGTATTTGTATTAGTGTTATTATTTTGCTTCTTATGCGTCCGTGTGAATTTCTTAATAAAATGATGGGGATAATTATTAGTTATTAACGCTTCTTTTATGTGTTTCAATTCCTTATTTAAGTCCTTACAATGACTAGTGAGTTTCTCAGCTCTGTTATTTAGACATTTGACTAAACCCGCTTTAACTGACACTGGATGAGATGACTTGAAGTCTAGATACCTGTTAGAATGTGTTGGTTTTCTGTAGACGGTAGTATCTAAACCACCATCTATCCTTCGTTTTATTCTGCAATCCAACATAGGTAATTCTCCTTGTTCATTTTCTACTTCGTAGGTGAATTGGATTGCGTTAACTACTGAGTTTATGTGTGTCAAGAAACTGTCGATATGTTCCGATTTCAACACTGTAAATGTGTCATCTACATATCGCCACCATATCTTAGGTGTCGGATTATATGTTCGTAAAGCCATATCTTCCCAACTATCCATAAATATATCTGCTACTATAGGGGATATTGGTGATCCCATTGCTACTCCTTCTGTTTGTCTGTATATCTTTCCCTGAAACTTGAAGACTGTCGAGGTTAAGCATAACTGCACTCCTAACATGATTTCACCAACCGATGCCTTGGTTCTTTGAGTAAGTTGTGAGTCAGTATCTAGTTGATTTCTGACTGCCTCCAGTGCCATATTGATTGGTATTTTAGTATAAAGACTTGTTACGTCAAAACTAACCATTTTTTCATCCTCTTCTATGTGCAGGTCATTAAGTTTTTGTTTCAACTCGTAAGAATTTACTAGTCTAGAGTTGGAACGGTCTCTAACAGGACGTAATACTGATGCTAAATACTTTGATATCTCATATGTTGGTGTGTTTCGGAAGTCAACTATCGGCCTAATGGGATAACCTGCTTTATGAACCTTAATAGTACCGTAAATTCTGCTAGGATTATTAGTTTTTGGCATTAAAGTAAACCATTCGGACTTACCTAGAGATGGCTTCAGTCGGCGTATCAGATCTGTTGTAGATTTCTTAATTTTATTCATGACAGTATCTATAGGTTTCTTAATCTCTTCATATGGCCCTGTTTGGATATGTTCATCCATTTTTTTAAGATAATCCGATTTGTCCATAACTACTGTTGAGTTACCTTTGTCAGATTTAGCAATTACTATACTATTATCCTTTCGTAGATTGTTTAAAGCTGAATTTTCCAGTTTCGTTAAGTTTCGCTGTGTCTTCTTTTGTTTTTTAAGTGCTAATGCACACTGCGCTCTAACCTGTTCAGCAGTTGTCACATCCACCGAGCTTAATGCTACTTCTATGCTAGGTATGACATCTTCTGGTTTTAGATGATCTACTGTTATGTTGAAGTTTAGTCCTTTTTCAAGTACTTTCATCTCAGCTGAGCTTAAGGCTTTCGAGGAGAGATTGACTACCCACTTTGTTCTATCGATGTTCGATGATGTTTCCTTTGTAATTTCATTGTTTTCCGAAGCATATTTTTCTTGCATTAGTTTATTGAACTTTTTGATTTGATTTCTTCTAGATTTCTTGAGAGTAGCTAATCTTGCTTTGTCTGATGTTTCTATTATAAATCCATAGTCTCTGCAGTTTACTATCTTCATAATTTTACATTTAAGTTGTTCAATTTTATTCCGAATGGTACTTAATTTCTTAATAATCCTGTGAATTTCTTCTTTCAGACATAGTTTGCTGACATGTTCTATTGCCCTTTGGATTTTGTCAGTATATATTGGGATTCGTATGCGAAGGTATTTAGGGATAATTTGA